TTAGGGTAAAACCATGTTGCTCTCTGGAAACAAGGATTTTGAAGCTCTGTCTCACATTCTTTGGGCATGTGACCAGGAGAGGACCAGTCCCCTGGAGAGAGATACCATGCTTGGAAGGGTGGAGGGAGTATGCAGAAGAGAAAGACCCTGGATGAGATAGATTGATAATAGTAACTGAGGTCATGGGGGGTAGGTTTTTCAAAGGCTGTGAGAATGGCTCAGGATAAGGCAAAGTTCAGAACTATTGGGTTGTTATGAATCACAGGCGACTTGATGGCATGTAATAACAATTCTAATACTTAACACTTGTCATCACCATTTTTGTTAGTACTATTGAGCTGTCTCTCCAATTCATGGTGATCTCATGTTGCCCAGTCCTGTGTCATGATATTTACTATGTTCCAGTCCCTTGTGATCACTGTGTATTTTGAATGTGTTTTGACTTAGGCTTACCATCCAGCCACCTTCTTGTTGTTGATAGGTGTCATTGGGTCAGCCAAGACTCATAGAGACTCTGAGAAGAATGGATCTGAACCTTGCCCTATCTGTACCATATTCACCATCTCTGATACATCACAGCCCATTAACACAATCACTGTGTAAATGTTGGGCACTATCCTGATGTTATTTAATTGGGTTTTAAAAAACAGTATTTTATTGTATTTGAAAGTTTACACAGGAAATGAAGTTCCCATTTTACTGATTCTCTACAAATTATTCAGTGATACTGGTTTATTGACATCATCATTCTAATTTGTTCTATTCAGTTTATACCATTTCCAGTACTTAAGTTTCCTTGCTCCTTCATGTCTATTTTTTTAGTAACCCTTTGGTTTCATAAATGTGTGATTAGATTTTTTTAAAGGAGCTCACAAGTTTTAATCCTTAAAAACCAACCTAATTTGCTAATTAGCTAACAGGTGGTTTCAAGGGATAAAAATAAATTTAAGATTTAAAGATGATATAATTTTTTCCTATAATTATATGTTATTAATTTTCATAAACATTTACAGAGATTTTGGGTTTCCATTCATTCATTGTTGCACTATTCTCTCTACCCTCCTCCCAG